TTCCTTGCATATAGTTACATTGCTCTGACTGCAAATGTCTCGCCCTGCCCCATCTAGGGGCCCTCACCCTAGTCTGACTACAGCCATGGTCCCTGTCTCACTAGCATGTAGTTTTATTGCTCTGACCTCAAATATCCTGCCTGGCTTTCTTCAGAGGCTCTCACCATATTCTAAGCCTATGGTCCCTGTCTCATTCCCCCTTCTACAGATAGAGACTCTAGCTGCTGCTAGGGAAAGGGGGCAACGACCGCTCTGGCTGCTTCATGCTGAGAGGGGGCGCAGTAAAGGGTGCAGCCAGGTCTCCATCACTGGTCAGTTGAGAGGGCCTTGGAAGGTTGGCGCTTCTATTCTGGGTTTCATTTCTATTACTATTTGCAGTTTTGTGGCTTCTAGGCAAGATAGAACCAATGGCATTATTAGGTTAAATAGCAACATCTGGAGTTGGATTTTCCATTCTGGAAGGACAAACTTGATGAGATTAAGAATGCATGGCCAAATATGAGAACTAGAAATATGAAGAGTCTAATTGAGAATCATAGCCAGGTATCATGGGGAAACTAGAATTCTGGATCGAGTTTACATCTCAATCACTAGTATTAGGATTTAGTATAGATAAGACTGCATTATTGAAACAATACTTTTCTCTAAAATCACCCTCATTTTTATTAGAAGTAGCCAGATTAAGAAAATAAGTAACAGTTGGCTTGATTATTTTCATAAGTGCAGCAAGAAGAGCAATCGATTACCTAGGCTCTTTTAAATATGCTTTGCTGGAACTTTTTGTAAGGAATTTCAGATTGGACTTTTAAGGGCTTCTTGAGGCCAGAAAGCCAAGCCAGACTTGCCATCAGCTTGTGCCTGCAGTACGTGTAGATCTGGGTGAATTCCTCTCTTCCTGAGGTTCCCAAGACATTCCTGAGGTTCCTGCACTTGCCAGGAAGTGACCTTCCTTACTCACCTGGTAAGGCTGCTGGGAACTCTGTAAGCAAGATACCAGGCCAGTCCTTCTAAGGGGCTTTGTTGGCTTTATAGTCAATCTTAGTTCCTTAAAGCTGTTTGTTCATATCTGAGTTTACACACGTGTCTCTCAGGTATGACGTTCCAGTCAAAGCCTTGGTAATATAACCAGTGTTTTTAATTGGTACTCTTACAAGGAAAACAGATTCTTATTGAACTTGTGCAAATAAACATACTGCCATGAAATATAAAAATAGTCACTGAGGGTTTTTAAATTCTGGAGGGATCAGGTAGAGAGAAAGATGAAGTTTCAATTCTGCTTATAAAGGCAGTTATTTACTAAACTGTTGTCAGCTTAAGAGAAAAAGCTTAAAACACTTTATCAACAACATTTGAAACAAAAATCCACAAAATTATCGTCCTTAGTTTACTTAATCCTATATAACTAATACCTGTTCTGCTGAAATCTATTTTACTAGTTTAGGAGTAATAAAACAGTGACTATAGATGACAAAAGACTTACAAATGACAATGGTTAAAGATCTGATGAGAGGTTACTGTAAGACAGTTGTCATAGGGAAATTTGGATATTTTTATAACACAAAACATCAGTAACAAAGTTTAGCATCATTCTCTGTGATAGTGTCTTCCAGGTAAGTAAGCAGGTAAATAAGCCAAATTAGCCAAATATTTTCTCCAATGAGAAAAAATTCCTCTGACATGTTCCAGGGGCCCTCTGGAAAATATCAGAGTGAACTAGAGGTAAAAAGCACCTTTTTGAATTTGATTTTGGGAAGCTGTTAAAAGTTTTAAGGCACTTGCTTAAATAGCTACTCACATTAGACAAAGCTACATTTAACTTTACTCATAGTTAACAACTATGCTGAATATTAGACAAAGTCAAGCCTCTAAGCATTTTATTCTTGAAAGATTTAACAGATACCATCAACTTAAATGACTTTAGGTAAACTTAGGCAGCTGATAACCATAAGGACATGTCTATTCAGTTCAACTTAAATTAGCATTAATGCTTAATATCTTCTATTAGAATTTTCTGGAAATTTTAGAATGCCAAATTTTTACAAGCGCTTGTCTTTAGACACAAACATACAGATTGAGACGTGATGATACAGTAAGAGGACAGACAGAGCTCCCAGCATGAGCCAGGAGGGGACAAGAGAGCCCGTGGTGGTGCATTGCCTAGGGGTTTTATAGGCAGTTGAGGATATTTGGGAACATGAAAAGAGCTTAGGGGTGTGGACTTTAAGGCAAGTAGTAGATGTTTAGGATTGCACAGGGAACAGAGAGAGGGCTTAGTTCAGAAGTAGGAGAAAGCCTGGATATATGGGATCCCTTTCCATTTGTCCGTGCACTCACAGAAGTTGTATAAGTTGCGAGAATTTTAGGACCTAAAGAGCCATTTGGGGGCCATTTAGACTGATTGTCTAAGGGATATTGTGGCCAGATCTCATTACAGTAGCGAACAAGCTTAAAAGGTTTGAGGTCTGGAGTGAGGTGGAGGGGCTTTAGATTATTGAGTAACCACCCCAGCGGTGAATCTGTGGGAACAGAGGGGCCAGATCCTATGGTGAGAACGAGACCATTCAGAAGTCGCTGAGGCATCCCTGAGCGATTGAGAAGGTCACGGAGAAGACCAGGCACAGTTAGGGGGTCGTCACCATCTCTAACTGTGGAGTTGAGGCGAAAATGCCAGGGAGGCTCGGTACCTGGTACCAGGAGTTTATGAGTAGAGTAGATACATAAAGGGAGACCGGGCCTCAGTGGATGAGGATTCTCACCATGGGGAAGCAGAGAAGGGTCGACTATGGGGATCAACCGTGACTCTGAAAGTTGTGTTTGGGGTGCCCCTGTCCCAGAGGAGCCTTTGGGGGTGCTGGACACTCAATGGTCACTTGCCAGGTTCCAAAGGGACATTTAAATTGACCATGAAGGGGAGACTCAGCAAATCGAAGGCCAGTGTTGGGCGAGAAGATGAGCAACTAGGGAAATGGATGGTGAGCCCGTGGAGGAGGATCGGGCAGTGAGGGTTCCCAGAGCAGCTCAGGTTCCTGGAGGAAGAGCAAAGTCAATGGGAGACCCTCATGTGAAGTCACAGCACCAATGAAAGGGTATCTTGCCATGACCCTCCTTACCCAGAATGACTCAGGAGACACGGGCCCACACAAGAGACTTTATTATCTGAAGGAGAGAGTGGCTGCCCCAGGGGGGGGAGAGAGAGAGAGAGAGAGAGAGAGAGAGAGAGAGAGAGAGAGAGAG